GCACCCTCGTCTATTCAGTGGCACGCACTTTAGAGACATTCAGCCTCAACCTAATCATCCTAGGATCTAATCCTTGCTTGGATTTGAGAAGCCACAAGCTATTACAGGCATATCAAACTCTCAGTCTTACCGCCAGAGTACTCGAGCTACATGCTCCACAACACCGCAGCTATGACTTCAACTACCAGCACCCTAGTAACACCCCGAGAGAAGGCCGGGGAGAAGACAGGAGGAGAGACAGATCGGGAGAACACCCCTACACCATCAATGCTTGACGAAGAGGTAGTAGAGAAGAAGGAGGAGGCCGGCACTGCAACAGATGAGGAGGCCGGCTCATCACAACCAACGGAACCCAAAGAGCCCGAATACCCCACCGGCATCCGGCTCACCTTCATCGTCGTCGCTCTCGTTCTCAGCATTTTCCTGGTTGCTCTCGATATGACCATTGTCGCAACCGCCATTCCCAAAATCACAGATGAATTCCGTGGTCTGGATCAGGTCGCCTGGTATGGAGCAGCTTTCTTCATGTGTGTTGCCGCTTTCCAGTCAACATGTAAGTCATCCAATCTCCCCTAAACAGTGGGCACTTTCTTCGGCCAGAACATCACTAACAGCATCGTGAACAGGGGGTAAGGCATACAAGTACTTCCCACTCAAGACGTCGTTCCTGCTCTCCATCTTCATTTTCGAAGTTGGCAGTCTTATCTGCGGTGTCGCTCCCAACTCCGTCGCCCTCATCGTCGGCCGCGCCATCGCCGGTGTTGGCGCCGCAGGTATCGGCTCCGGTGCCTACACCATCATCGGCTTCTCCGCTCCACCCGACAAGCGACCCACCTTCACCGGTATCATCGGAGCCTCGTACGGTATTGCCTCGGTCATTGGGCCTCTGATCGGCGGAGCCTTCACCGACCACGTCAGCTGGCGCTGGTGCTTCTACATCAACCTCCCCATCGGAGGTCTCTCTGCCGCCATCATCCTCTTCTACTTCCACACCCCGCCACAGGCCGTTCCCGTGAAGGCGAGCATGCTTGAGAAGTTCCTTCAAATGGATCTCATTGGCACCGCCCTCATCATGGCGGCGACCATCTCCTTCCTGCTCGCTCTGCAGTGGGGAGGCCACCAGCACCCCTGGAACTCGTCCACCGTCATCGGTCTGTTTGTCGGCTTTGGCCTGATGATTGTCGCTTTCATCGCCCTTGAGTGGTACCAAGGCGAGCGTGCCATGATCGCGCCTCGCCTCATCAGCGACCGCACTGTCTACATCTCCTCCGCATACGCCTTCTTCTTCGCCGGCGCCTACTTCGTTCTGGTCTACTACCTGCCCATTTACTTCCAGTCCGTCGACAACGCATCTCCCACGCAATCCGGCGTCCGCAACTTGCCGCTTATTATCGCCGTCACCATTGCCACCGTTGCCTCGGGCATCTCCATCTCCGCCACAGGACTTTATACCCCGATCCTTGTTGTCGGCGCTGCTCTCGCTACCGTCGGCGCCGGCCTCCTCTACACCCTTGACATCGGCACTGGAAGCGATAAGTGGATTGGATACCAGGTGCTCGCCGGTCTCGCATGGGGTGCTGCTTTCCAGGTTCCCATTATTGCCGTCCAGGGCACAGTTAGCGAGAGTGATCTTGCATCCGCCACCGCTGTTCTGCTCTGTAAGCCCATCTCTAACAAATTATCTTCGATGGAATTTTACTAACACTAAATCTCACAGTCTTCCAAACCGTCGGTGGAGCCTTCTACGTCGCCGCAGCCCAGTCAGGCTTCCTCATCACTGTCCTGAAGAAGGTTGCCGAAAACGTGCCCAACGTAGACCCCAACCTCGTTGCCCTCACCGGCGCAACCCAGATCCGCACCGCCTTCCCCGCCGATGCCGTCCCGGGCGTCATCCAGGCCTACATGGACGGTCTCAAGGTCGCCTTTGCCCTGGCCGTCGCCGGTGCCGGCATCTCGTTCCTCATCTCTCTCGGATCGAGATGGAGCAAGCTCAACACCAAGAACCTGGCTGGCGCCGCCTAACTTATTGTCGTTCCGTCACGAGAAAGAAGTGGGAGATTCCATGTTCTCAGCCTTTGGGTATTGTTCGACTACGATGAGCTTTCCCTTTTGTCCTTCACTAGATACCATGCTCGACTGTGTAGGAAAGTCTTATAGAATCTGATAATAGGCAGACGGGCCATGGAGTTTTGGTTGCATTTAGGGGGAGAAGGAGGACTTTTGGTCTATCTACGAGGGTGCTTAATTCAGGGCCACCCAACTCTTGTTCTTTACGAAGATAATGTCAAATTTCCGTTGTCAACGCACGACATGTGTCAATATGAATTCTTGTGACTGTGTGAATCGATGATTAAGTCTGCCGGTGCGCTATCATCGTGATTCCGCTCGGCGATGATTCATGTTCCATTCTCGATGGAGGCTAGAATGGATAGTCGAGTCGTTCTCACCCAGATACATTGTGTAAGGCAAGGGTCGGATGTAGCAAGGTGACAGATACGCACGGTAGACGCAGGAGCAAGGTATGACAAGCACAAGGGCAATAGTACAACGGGGGCGATGGAGCGATGTAGCGATGAAGCGACGAAGGAAAGTGCCAATATACTTCTTCGGGTATGCTTAAGTCAGGTCTTCTTACCCCTCGCACGCATTCGTTCTTCCTTCAGATTGCACGAGCGGATCTATGAGTTTCCATTCTAGCACACCTCAATTCCTCCTCATGCAAACAACTCCTGAGTCTTCCGCCTCGTCTCCCCCGCAGACGAGTCAGTAGGCAACTGCTCAACCTTGTACTCGAAATCCTTCTGTATCCCCCTCACCGGCTGCAGCTCCGTCTCGCTGTCCTGCGCCGAAGAGACACGGCCGTCGCTCTCGCCTTCCAGCCGTACCGCACCCTTCTGCCACTTCCTCGACCGCAGCGACATGCCGCCCGAGCCCCCAATCGTGGGACCCACGTACTTTGCCGTCGTCTTCCTCGTCGCGTTTCTGTTCTTGCTGAGGAGGAAGCGGAAGGCGGGGAGCGTGGCGACGATGATGCTGACGGACGACTCGATGTGGCTCCACATGCTCAGGAGCACCGGCCCGTTGGCCACCGTCGTCGGGTCCTTTGCTGCGTCGCCTGTGGCTTTCGTCACCTGTGCGAGCCGCGCGATGGCGAAGGCTACGATGATGCCGCCAAGGGAGAAGAGGATGGCTAGGCCGAACTTGTGGGATGGGGAGGTGCTCAGCTTGCGCAGGAGGTTGAGAGGCAGGATCATGACTGTTTGCGTTGTGTAAGTAACATGGGAGGCTTACTACAGCTTTGGATCCGTCACGTACTGAGAATATCTGCCGCAACATCTGCGCTAGTCGCGAACTTGATGGATGCATCAGCTCTTACTAGGTCTTCTGGCGCACTGCACCCGGCTGGTTCTGCAGCGTTAATTATTTAACCAACGGTCTAGGGTTCGCGAAAACGTACTCGCACTCCAATATTTCGTCAACGGTGTGCATGTCAAGAAATTTGAAAACATGCATGCTAGATACAGCACCAGGACCGCACCGAAGCACATCCACCAGGCGCGAATGTATTTGGGCAGTCCGGTGACCAGCCTTCGTACGAAGAAGAGAATGGAGAACTTTGCTGTTGATCACATGAAGACAGTCAGTGTTGTTCACCACCGTATCCATTTGTGAAAACTAGAGAGGAAGAGACATACCGGCCCACAGTGTCGTCCAGAACAGCAGCATCTGACAGAACATCAACTTAAGAGATGCAATCGTCCTGGCGATGAACTCCTCGGGCCCTAAAGGCACGGGTGTCATAGGATCTTTGGCAGCCGCCTTGGTATACTCGCCGGCGAGGTAGAACTGCGGCAGCATGCAAGTGATGACTGCGGTCAAGGCCGTCAGAGTCACGAGTCCTGCGATGATGAAGTAGTCGTCGGCAAAGAGGCGCCGCTGGAGTATCCATTGGAAGGTGCCTCGGAAGATGGTCATCCCAAAGGCGGCTCCCCACATGACCCAGATGAGTATCTGTCAGACATAAGATATCGTATTAGCTAACAGATAACGGAGCGATATAGGGTAGCATGGCCAATGCGACGGTTACGACCGAGGCACGGATCAGAGATCGACAAACGGAGACGTTGCCCCGGCCGTGCCGGACTCCGAGTAAGCGGGGGGCGGGGCGGCACGGGCGGGTCGGTTTGCTGCTTACCATCATCTCAGTGTAGCCGAGCACCGGAGTCGCCATATTGCGAGTCGTTCGTCTACCGGACGATGTCGGTTTGCGTCTCTGGGTCGGATATTGGTTTTACGCAGAGGTTCGACAGTGGCACAGCAGCTGAGCATCGGAAAAGTGGCCACACGAGAGCATTAAAAGAACGCATTCACATTGCTTTTTTCTCTTTTTTGCCTTTTGCCTTTGCCCCCCCCGAACCGACCTGCTGGATCAGGGGCGCTACCCCGAGACGCATCCTGCCCATGCGAGTTGACAGAAGGATGGAAGGGATTCTCGTCACTCACCTGCGGGATTACCGGCTAGGTTTGCGCCATTCCAGCAGGGCAATATCTTTTGTGCTCTTTCTCGCTCGTGTCAACGGACATGCTAGCCCGAGTCGGGATTCGGACGACGTGGGGTTGAACAAGGGTATTTGGGTATCGACGGGGGGCTCGCCACCAACGGCAGCACCTCATCTCGCGTCTGCGAGGATGCTACCGACCTGCCAATGAGAGAGTCGTCAAATCATGAGACTACTGCACTCGATAGCAGACCTCAACCAACTTGCATGATCCCCTCCATCCTTCGCTAACGATATTTCTGCAGCTTCATGGGATCCCCTGGGAGGCGAATTCCTCCCAATTTTAATATACTTGCCATCGCTACGAAACTGGGTTCGAAACCCGGAATCCCGCGATAGAAGAATGCTTGACTTTCCTCCTGCATCCAGACCTCCTCCACGTTTCGTCGTGGTTCATCGCTTCTCTGACTGACTCCTGCCAAGTTGCCTTAGTCAACAACCATGGTTCGCGCCGCATCCCTCGTCGCCAGCTTGCTGGCTGTCGTCACAAACCCCCTCGTCGTTGCGGCTGAGAGCAGCGCCGACGCCGCCACCAATTCGGCCGTCGTAGCCAGCCTTCCAGGTTCAGAGAAGATCGCCTGTGGACTGCTCAACTCCCGCTACCCCAAGCAGACCTTTTACTCCGGCTCCGATGGTTACACCTACGAGACGCAGACGCAGTACTGGTCCGCAACGGAGTACAACACACCAGCTTGCGTCTTTGTCCCACAGAATGCCCAGCAGGTGTCTTTTGCTGTTACTACACTGACTTTGAGCTTGACCAAGTTCGCCGTCCGCAGCGGAGGTCATATGCCAGTTGTGGGATACAACAGCATCGGATCATCTGGCGTCCTGCTGTCAACGTCCAACCTGACCACTCTGGCTCTCTCCAGCGACAAGTCCACTGTATCTGTTGGCGCTGGCTACAGGTGGAGAGATGTCTACTCCTACCTCGCGCCTTCCGGCCTGGCAGTCGTCGGAGGCCGTATTGGGGGTGTTGGCGTCCCCGGTCTGCTTCTTGGGGGCGGAATATCCTTCTACTCCAACCAGTACGGCTTCGCAGCCGACAACGTTGTTCGGTACCAGGCCGTGCTCTCCAGCGGCTTAGTCGTCGAGGCCACCGCTACCAATGCCTACTCGGACCTCTTCTGGGCCCTCAAGGGAGGCGGTAACTCCTTTGCTATTGTCACTCGCTTCGACCTCAAGACCTTTGTGTCGCCCAAGGTATGGGTAGGAATCTCGCAGTACGCGCAGACGGACAGCGCCAAGTACCTCGACGCCGTCTACAACTTTGGCAAGTTCGGTTCCGCGGATGGCAAAGCCGCCATTATTCCCACCATCCTCACCTATCCTTCGTACAACATCACCGCGTACGCGGCTGCCCGCTTCTACGACTCCGAGACCGCGCCCGCGACTGCGTTCGAGAACTTTACGTCTCCTGCCCTGACGCCTGTGGCCGATTCCTATGCCCTGCAGCCTCTCGCCGATTATGTGACTGCCGTTGACGCACTCCAACCCACCGGTCTCCGACAAGAGTGAGTCGTCTCAACCCCTCGAGCTCTTATCTTGCCAACTCACTAACCCTCTTCAAGATTCCGCGTCATGTCCCTTGTAGTCAACCGCGACGCAGTAGACTACGTCCACGACACCTTCCTCACAGCCACCAGCGCCAGCCTCACCAGCATCGTCGGCCTGTCGGCCTCCGTCACCTTCCAACCCATCACCAAGGAGTTCATCCAGCAGGGCGTCGCCAAGGGCGGCAATCCCCAGGGCGTGGACCCGTCCAAGGCGCCGTACTTTTGGGTCGTCGAGAACCTGACGTGGCAAGACGCCAAGGACGACGCCGCGGTGAAGGCCTTTGCCGACAGCGTTACGGCGGAGATCGAGGCCGGGTTAGTGGCCAAGGGCGTCGCGGGCGGGTATTTGTACTTGAACGATGCGGGACAGGGGCAGAAGATCTTCCAGAGTTACCCGACGGCGAACCTGGTAAAGCTCAAGGCTATTCGCGCCAAGTATGACCCGTTGAGGATTTACACGAACCTCTTGGTCGGGGGTTGGAAGGTGCTTGACGCCTGATGATTATCTGATACTGACGGTCGCTGTCGCTTTCCACTAATCAGCTGAGAATAATGTTTATAGTAATGTGTACTTAATGTGAGCATGATGACCAACCTTGAAAATTGCTGTGTACGTGTTTGTGATCCGACGAGCTTCCATGAGGCGAATTCGAGGCTTCCATGAAAACCCGCATACTTTGGAGTAACGCCACTGGACTGTTCAGTTAGCCGCCTCCTTTCTCCTGTCCGTACGAATCCTGGAGCAAACATCAGCAGAAACATCGCAGTACAACCATGCAATCAGCAAAACACTGACACAGCTGTTCCTAGGAAAACAAAAATTCAACTTTTGTAGGTATTCCAATCTCGCTATAAAATGCAAAATGCGCCCTTCGTCCTTTCTACCTCTTTGCAACTCTAATCCGTACACCCACCCACACCCCACAGCAAAAAAAGAAGTCTATGAAGAGCCGCCCGTAACCTTGACACTACCATCCTCCATACCAAAGTACGCAGCCACGGGCTTCTGCGCCAACCCGACCTTGCCGGCCGCAGCGGCCTCGACGCCGTTGAGGCCGTGGAAGATGCCAATCTCGACGATGCCGGGGATCATGAGCAGCTCCTTGGCGAGCGCGGAAACCTCCCACGCGCCGCTGGCGTTCCGGGCGCTGCCGTCGGAGACGTCTGAAGAAAGCAAGAGCTGCGGGAAGGGCGCGTCGATGAGCCACATGCCGTTGTCGGTGACGACTTCGCCGGCTTTGCCGGGGGCGCCGGGCCGCACGGCGGGCTTGACGGCGCCGAGGGCCGTGAGCCTGTCCAGCACGTCGGGGGCGGACATGGGGAGGACTTCGATGGGGATTGCCTTCCAGTTTGTGAGCAGTCTCGCGGAGAGCTTGCGGTAATCTGGGATATTTAATCAGCTCGATTCTCAGGTCTTCCTGCCGGGGGGGGGGGGGGGGGGGTGGGCGGCGGGCGGGGGGGGGGGGGGGTGGGGGGGGTGGGGGGGGGTTTCGCGCAGGGTGTGGCTGGGGTGGGGGGGGGGGGGGGGAGGTGTTTTTGTGTTTTCTGTTTGTGTCCGGGGGGCGGGGGGGGGGGGGGGGGGGGGGGGGGGGGGGGGGGGGACTCACCAGCGACAACGACAAACTTCTTCGCAGCGATAGCAACAAGCTTCTCCTGGAACAGACACGCGCCGCCGCCCTTGATGCAGTTGAGCTCGGCGTCCACCTCGTCGGCGCCGTCAAACGCGACGTCGATGGCGACGAGCTTGCCGTCCGGGCCGAGGGGTCTGTCGTCGAGGTTGCACAGGCGCAACCCGGCGGCGCGGATGAGGCCCTTTGACTGGCTGCCCGTCGGGAAGAAGGTCATGTCGCCGTAGAACGCGGGACCCTTGGCGGCGATGGCGTCGACGACGTAGACGACTGTGCTGCCGGAGCCGATGCCGACGTAGCGGGCGCCCGGGGCGAGGTGTTCGTCTACGGCGCGGTAGGCGGCTGCCTTTTTGGCTTGTTCGACGAGGGACATTGTGGGTGTGGTTGTGAGGGTGCGGCGGGGGAGGTGAAGGGAGGTTGATGGTAGGGTGGTTTTGGCTGTGCGGGATGGCGTGAGGGTGTGGAAAAGATGAGTTTTGGTGGTGAGGTGTGAGAAGGGGCGTGAGGTGGTAGATGAGGACGAGAGGAAGTGGAGTGACGAGACTTTTGATCTTATAAGTCTTCTACTTGCGCTGATGCTAGTCAGGGACATGGAAGGCGAGGGCGAGGCGGGAGTCGGGATGAGGTGGTGGTGTTATAGTGGGATGAGCCATAAAGTTGCGTCTCTTGCGGCTGTCCGGGCTTACTCAGGAACCTGAATCGTGACGCGGGACGGGGAGAGTGGGCTCGGATCTCCGGCTGGCGACGGCTGGTTCCAGATGGAGGGTGTCGTGGATTCATCCCAGAGATGGACTTGGACAAAGAGGTATTTGCGGCTGGCATAGGAATATTGCGTTCGGTCAATTGTAATCCGAACCATTAGAAGGCATTGAATTCTCTGGTATCTGATTGATGTCTTTTGCGGTCACCAAGGCGAGTGCCGCAAAATCAGAGGGCTGATCCCACGGTGAGCCTCGGTGAGAACCCCTCCTTCACCGAGCGCGGGGCACACCACCCATCATATGTCAATGCACCTCAAGAACTCAGGAACCACTTCTTTTTTTCACCGTCTCCACATAATGACGTACCCAACGGTGATTTCCAGGGACGTCTGTTCTTCTCCACCACGCAGCACCGACTCAACGCCCGCCTTTTATCGTCTCAGAAGTCAGAAACCGGATCCGCCGAATCAGACCGGGACGGCAAGACCTCGGAGGGGAAACCGGGAGTCCCACCGGTGTGCGTCCCGGTGGAGAATTGCCGGTGGAGAAGGAGGGAAAAGTCTGTACCTTTCATAGGAGATTAGGAAGATCCTTCTCAAGGAACTACCCTCGCGGTCTTCGCGGGTAGTAAAAGGGTTTTATGCTTGACGACGTCATTTTGCTTAAGTATGGAGACTGGTAGATGTTCTGAGGGAATATGGATGGGTCCAACAAAGGCTTCTGCTGCTTTAGAAGACGAATTTAAGGAACCGGGCGCGATGAATTAGCAAGCTCGTATTCGGTCGAGCAAGTTGGTGTCGATAAGATGCAACTCAACGATACTAAACCAGGTCAGATTGCGTCGTGGAGTCTCTTGAGTATGATGTGGCCATCTCTCTGATAGGCTCTGCTGGATCCTCTGCTAGCGTCTCGCCTGTAAGATGTCAATATGCAAATCTTCTGGGGAAACATCTCAGTTCTGGCAAAGTCTTCGACTACGATCGTCGCACAGCGAGCAACGTCAACATGGATGGAGAGGATGCGAAGAACAACCATCATTATTTCGCTTCTCATTGATTTGCGATTGAACAAGTGCTGACAGTGTTGACGATGCTTTACTGATAAGGATCAATAACCCATCCCGCTTTAGCTTCTTGTGCGATGTTGCACAGATGACAGGATAAAAGGCAAGTGACGGACTGAGGGAGAGTCTCCACGTTGCTAATATAAACGCAGTAATTCGCGATCCAAAGTCTAGTGAGATCCTTAGGCATTGAACTCATTGTCTTCTTCGCGCTTCCGATAGTCATCAACCGAAGTTCCCGCATCAAAGTGAAGAGGATAATACTCATCCACAACCTCGATAAGCCCGTCATCTTCGTTTATAGTCAGGTCCAATCTTCCTCGATAGCGGAACGTCTTTCCGCTGGCCTTATACTGGCTCGTCAGGTCGTTCGTATACGTTCCGGTTCCGACAAAGGCGAAAGTCACATAAACCTTCCCACCTTTCTTCAACTCCGGCCAGACAAGCTCAACGTGCATTTCGAAGTCGGGGTTCGCATGTTTCCACATCCCGACGTGATCTGCTATGCCGGCGTGCCCTTTGCGCTGAACCCGGAAGGCGTGATCGTTGTAGATTATCGATTTCGAGTGGAGGTCAATCCACTGCTGAGGAGGTCCGTGGGCATTGGATAGTGGGAAGACGCCGGCCCAGATGGCGGCTAGGTCTTTGGGAGTTGGGAGGTTTCCTGGTGATCAATTCTCGTCAGCGTCTTAAGAGGTGACAAGATGAACCGGGAGAACATCATGGGGGAGGGAGAAGGCGACTCGCTCTAGACTGAAGCCGACTTACTCATCACGGCCAAAAGTTTCTGGACAGGAGTTTCCAGAGGGACGTTGCTTGGATAAGGCCACTGAGAGGGAGACAGCAAGAATCGAGGCGGGCGATGTAGCTATTTAATCTTGAATACCGATCCTCTAGCGAGCTGTGAGACAAATATAACAGTCGAAAGCAAGCACTGTACTGGTGACGCCCAGAGTTCTTGCCGTTGGAAGTTGCCGGTCATCAAAGCTGGTCTTGGCACTATCAAGAACTGTAAAGTCTAGGTATACCTCGGCGACCAACCTGTAGTACAGGATCTTCCAAGGAAGGAATATACAATGCCCGCCATTCCGCGACAAGCCGATGTGCCTCGGCTGGTTCCTACAGCCGATGTATCGCGCTTCACGGCCCCCGGCTTACCATGGATCGAGGCCGCTCCGGTGAGCTGGTGAACAAGCATAGCTCTGACCTGCAGGACATAAGTGACCAAATTCGGATGATTTGTCCTCGATATAGGTACTAGCAACAACTTTGGGTGTGACGGTGACCCAATTAATCTAGACCGGGCAGTCAAGATACCAAACCTTATTCTGATCATAAAAGCACAGTGTAACCACTTGCGGTAACACAGTCTTACTTCACTCAGGACAATTGAAATGGCCTGTACCAATTCCTAGCATGTTTGAGTACATTTGACGCTAGTGAGGAGTCTGAAATTGCACAGGATGAGTCGAGCTTTTGGTCAACGACAGCTCCAGCGGCCGGGCGGCCGAGAAGGCTTCTCTACATAGGCTGGAAACAGCCTGAACAACAAAGTGCATTTGTAATGCTAAGGTTCAATTCGATGAGATCAAAGGGTTATGTGCGCCATTGTGGGATATGGCATTAAGAGGGCGCTCATATCAGTAGACTTGTCATCTAATGTGTTCAAAATGATAAGCATAGATGAGCGATACACTAAGTAGTGAAAGAGCATTGAGACAAGTTGAATTTCTAAGTGATTGTACTAACACTGAATGAAGGTAGGCGAGTTGATCGATGGTTTAACGACACCTTGTGGTTTACGTGCGGCCGAACCACCCGCCTCCCTCATCCCGCTCAATGTAGGTGTGGAGGGTGAACTCAGTGCCTGTGTAGGTAATAGTAAACACGGAACTTTGTCTTCAAGAGCCATGAAGTTCCGAGTTAGCGCATTTGGGAGACGCATTCTGGCGTCGCCTAATATAGAGCATATACTGGACTTGTTGCCTGATCTGACGATCTCCTTGGATGGCACAAATACGTACTTGGCATTGCTTGATTGGAACAGACTTTGTGTTCGGCGTTGTTAACTCGTGTTCAACTGCCCGATAGATAGCATGAGTTTACGTCTCGAAGAACAACGACTGCATGGCCAAAAGCCATGAGCAGCCATGGCAAAGGGTCCAGTCAAACCGGATCAAAATTTCCTCATGCAATCACTGTGGAATGTTGTCATCGAATCAAAAATCTACTGAACTGTCACATGGCAGATGTCGACGAATTGGGCATGTCAGTCAGAGAGGGGTATTTGGCTATCTATCATACGAATCAGAAGGCTCTGCTCCGTCCCGTTCTTCACACGATCACTTCCTCTTGTTATCATCCCCGTCGTCGCAGCTTTGTCAAGCAAACCGACTCCTTCACTTTGGAGGCACATTTTAGAAGTCCACGTGCAGTGGCGAGATAACAAAACTCTCTCATTGCGATGGCAGCATTACCGCTTCTCTCCACCTCAGCAGAGGCCCTAGTCATGGCACTCGCAGAGGTAGGGGTCGCTACAGCTGCAGTCGCCCCTGTTGCGCCCGTTGCAGCTGCAATCACATTCCCCGTTGCGGCTTTGGCCGTAGGTGCTGGCGCCGTGGCGGTCCGAATGGGACTGGTAGGTATATGTAGGGCTACTTGTATCCTTGATCTCCATAGCTGATGTTTGTCCTTGAATGCACCAGTTCAATACCTCAGACACCCCTCCGAGAATGTCCAAGATTCCCAAGAAGATGCTGAAAAGACTGTTCAAAGCCTATGGCAAGAAGATTCACAAGAGGCTGAAGAAAAGAACGCGTTACGATACGAACAATAGAAATGTGTGGAATAATACAGACTATCGAATCGATTTGGGACGGTCTAATAAGGTTCATGTCCATATCAAGACTTGGCACTTGCATTTCAACAAGACAGCAAGTAAGGACATCAGGGATATGTTTGAATTCCAGGGCTGCACAACGCATACAAAACTGCTTCGGGGTGTGTTTGATATTGAGAATCCACCGGATTACGAAGCCTGGGTAGAGACAATTTTGGAGTTATATCATGAGTGACGCATCGGGGTCTCTGAAGACAAGGTGCCTTCAGATATCTTGAATTACAAGATGCTTGGGCTTGTTTCCTTGCGAAAACAGCTTGTAGTACAGTTGAAGGATGGATTTCGCCTCAATTCTTTCAGTCTGCTACAACGAAAGACTGATCTCTTCGAAGGGTGTCACTTGTAGCGGGCTTAGAGATTGAGGACCAGCGAGTGTTCTATTTGGAGAAATATAGTAATTATGTTGAAAGGAGTTGGGCTTGATGTTATACAATGAGTTCAGTTAGATCACATCACGGACTGTCGCAGACAATACTATGACTAAGTACCGTCCAGATGATATCGCTCAAGGTCGGAAAAATATTAGCATTGAAATATTGAGGCTTCCTTTTACTTATTATTTCCACATTCAGCCTTTGAGGCTGGGGCTTCATTCTTTTCGATCGACTTACGGAGCCTTATTATAATCAAGAAATCTTGTCGACTAATCAAGTCACCAGAAGAAATGTGATATCCTGTTCAGGCGCCCACTAATTATGCCGTTCCTGTCAACAGCACTGGAAGCGCCCGTCTCGACTCTCGGTTGACGGGTCAGATCAATTTCTGTGCGAGGCAATCGAGTGAATCAAAAAATGCATTCTTCAACGAAGTTGGAGTCTAAGTTAACTGAGAGTTGCGCTGTTCGTTTCCGAAGACGAGTGTGAATTATAGGGCCAGTGCCCCTCTCCTTCAGTTCCATTCAGCCATTCTTTTTTTGTATAAAAGTTATCCTCTTACTCAAGCGTTTAGCCAGTCAGCCAACAGTTTCACTGCCAGTTCTTGAAATACATACACGCTCAATCGTACAAAGGATTTCCAGCGCGTGACTAGCCCTCTTGTGGGATCAGCATGACTATCACTAGCTAAGGTCAGGTAGATAGGACTACGTAATCATATTCGGGGCTGAATCAATACCCAATCACTGTCCTTTTCAAATGAAAGACAGCGAGAAGTTGTGCCTGTATCAAGTTATGACTTCCAACTGCCTCTACACGGCCCATTCTTTTCACAAAGCCCAAATGGAGTATATTATTTTCGGTGGACAGACGGTCTTCCTCAGGTTCACGGTTCTTGCGGATCTTATTCAGCGATGACATTTCAGTGAAGTAAAATTTGAAAAGGGACTAGTGAAGGCCGCAGAACTCCATGAGGCAGTGCTTGTGTAACGCCTCCGTTTCAAATGTTGCGGGTTCCTAATCTGCGGGAGCGTGAACCACAGATCGAACTGATATACACAGCCGCATTGCTGACATAAACCTCAAGGCAGAGGCATCATAAGGTACTCTTCCTGAAAATGATTGGCCCGGATCTCATACGGCCGAGTCGGTTCCTTCACTGAGCCTTTGGCTAGCCCAAGAATGATGGCCATTGGCTACGAGCTTGCTAGGGTGGGAGCCGGCATATGAAGTCTGCCTGGAACCTGGCTGGCGTTCGTTTGGCAAGTTAAACATTGGTATCATCCTTGACGGGGATCTACATGCTTGTCGCTATCAAACAACTTTGACTTCGACCTAGGGATTATTAATCTTACCTATTGGAAACACGAGGCCAATGGAGTCCCGCAGCTACAAGATCAACACGTTCAAGTACTACTAATAGAATAAGGGGCAAGTTTGACCATCTATTAGGCTACCAGAGTCCAGCTGAGAAGAAAGACATACCAAAGGGCATATTGCTCTAGCCCAAGCTCTGGCTCCCATGTGCTTACCGTCCTGTGTCTTCCGACAACGTCTTTCCACGTCTGTTGTCAATGTTTCGACCCCCATGTTCTTACTGACATGAAGGAGGCCTCTTAGCTGAGATGATGCATATGAAATCAGAGCTTAGATGGATTTCTTCATCGAGACGAACCGCTCTAAATTTCATCCAAACGAATTTGCGAATTTCGGTCTATAACCCAAAAATGGTCGTCAACCGGTTGCATCCATGACATACGATGGCAGGTTCTCTAGTGTCAATGGCCATTGACATAGGGACCTTGACATTGAATGACACGTCGCATCGTTCTTGGAGTCATGTTGTCCCACCGGCTCCGGTCACTTACACAAGACTAGTATCCCTTGGACAGTAAAAAGGGGCGTTGTGGATTTACACTCCAGAATACTTAAACTTTGCCGTTCCCCCGGGTTCATTCACGATTGAACGGTGTGCAGCTAGCGCCTACCAATCTACTACGTAACTCAATCCGAAGATCTAGGTTCAGATTGACTTCTTGTCAATGTTGTTGCACGGTGAGTCAAGGTGAGATCTGCTAGCGCACCGAGCCATGGCACACTGACTCAACCAAAGATCGACTCTGACCACTTCTGACTCTACCGGATTTCGATTCAGAGATTTTCTTAGCCCTACAAGATGAGCGGCTGCGTCTTGAGCTGCATCAACCACGGGTCCCATTGAGGCCGTTCTGCTTGGCACCTGTTTCCATCATTAGGGTGCAATACAAGTGCTGTAATGAGTAGCACCTTGGCAGAGACGCAGATAAACAACGGCTCGGAGAAGACAAAGGTGAGACACGGCCGAATCAGCACCGAAATTGGGGGAATCACATTGCAGAATGATGTTCGAAACCATGATCGTCGAACCCGTCCCTGAGAAAGCAGAATTACTGCTTCTCATGAAAGCAGGCTCCAAAACATCGAGGTAAGCCCAATCAGGTTTTTTCCAGAAGAGAGGCCTCCATGATGGCCGATGATTCGCGGTCCAGCCACTCTCATGGAACCAGGTGGTCTGCATGTGGATGAGAGTCGGCGCGGATGGTGCAAACGCCGTAGCCGCCCTTGTCTTGATTGCATTGTTTATGGTAAGAATGATCCGTTTCGAAGGGGGGCCTAGATCATCGACGAAATTGACGTTGATGAGCCACGGCGATCATAACAAGGAAGGGCGAAAATCCAGTCGGGTAGGCAGAGGAGGAGTTGCCGCCAGACGTCTCGACTGATGCAGTGGTGGTGGCTGAGGGCGATTCTCATGAGCGAATCGCATTTCACGAACAGTGACAGGACCCCACTATTATCCGTTTAAAGACATTGACGGTTGACGGCCTGTCGTCTAGCCTTACGAGGATTGACGTTCAAGTGTCAGAAGAGACAAGGGGGGTTGAGAGGGGTCATCTTGGGTTACTGTGTTTATGACTTGGCGGTTTGGTGGGCAGGCTTGCGTTGTAATCCAGCTGTCATCTCGGAAACTGGAGAGCATCAGAGGGTTATCCCAGAGACAAGCGAGTTGTCAAAATTTGCGGGATACCGATTGGCTACCCAGAAGCCATCTCGGAACTCTGCGCTTCCTGGACTTTAGAGTTCACGTTGACAGAATCGCAAGAGCCAATCGCAATCAACTTGAGAAGTCTGAGCGGAGGGGCTTCAGATATAACAGCGGCTGAACCCCCCAGCAAATAAACGCGGCATGACAGCATCCCCCAGCCAGGTGTCGACAAAATTAGGGATCAGATATCGATTAATGCCTTCTGCTAAGTTCAGTCAGCGCTGATGAAAGACGGTGGCATCCCGTCCCGGGGGAACGAACAAAACTCTTCACATATAGGTTCGCACTCTGACTAGCGAATCGCATTCTTGCGGAAGCACACCTTTCCCTTCGACCCCCGCTCATTTCCCCAACTGTTCGTGCCACGAGATCCTTGGCAAGAACACTCAGGAACGCTGTCTAACGCCGATGTCAAATGGCTGACAATTGAAACAGTCGGTTGGTTGTCCCTAAATTGGGGATAGATCTGCTGAGGTTGTCAAAGTCTAACGCAAATGCCGACTAGGGGCCTTGCAAGTTGCACGCTTCTCACTTTCCCATCTCATGATTCCACCGCCGTAAGGCCGCTAACGCTCCTCGTCCGTCTTGGACGGAAGACTGCGCAAACAGCACCCGGCGTTTGGGGCCGCCGACGTTGCATCCCGAATCGAGCTATACTACCGTGTTTATATGACTTGCATAAGGTGTGCATTGGTGATTTGAGAATCTGGAGAACCTGTGATCGTGAGATACATAAACGTCGTCGTCGATCCAGTTCTCGCCAAGCTCATTTCTTCTGTGTCTCAAGCTCACATCAAGATACTTTGCGATAGCATCAACCACTCGCAACTACAACTCTTCCACTCCAACAACATACTCTTTGTCTGCAGGTATCAGGCGCCATGGATTCCTATCTCGAGGAGACATCTTACACCTTCTTCCCCAGTGTCGAGGGCAACAGTCCAGTGTACACATTCGATTCTCAGTTCATTCCTTTCCCCGCATCAGAGGGCACAGAGAATTTCTTTTATCCATACTCATTCCCGGCATACCAAACATCAATGCCTCTCATGAACAACGCTTCTCCACTCTCCTTGGACACCGACTACGCAACCATCAACACCCCATTCACCGCATCCTCCCCCCGCTCAGACTTTTCGCCCATCCCCAGTGAGCCTTTGGACTTCGCATCACCACCTAGCACTAGCAGCGGACCAGTCTCGCCACGGTCACCCCCACAAGAGGTGCAGCCCGAGAGCTGGGGCCCGGCAGATCTTCACCAAATGGGTTATCTTGACGTCGCCGGCAACTGGCGCTGCCGCTACTCAGGTTGCTGCTCCTCGCGTGTGTTCCTGCGCGCGTGCGATCTCAGAAAGCACTTCCGGGGCCATGCAAAGTACTTCTTCTGCACCGAAAAGAGATGCCAGCAAGCGGGCGTTGGTTTTGCGACGCGCAAGGACTTTCAACGGCACATGGGCTCTCACAAGCCTGCTGTGAGGTGCATGCACCCGGACTGTGATCGCATCTTCAGCCGGAAAGACAATATGGTTCGTTCAGCCCATTCTTATTATAACCCCATTGAAACACAAGCTAATTTACAACAATAGAGAGAGCACTACAAGAAGATTCATCAGAGGTTGAGAAATAACCTCTTCCCAAGGAGGTGCCGTCAGACCAAGAAGAGGGAATCGCAGGCTGCCTCACCAGAGTCCAGCTGCTCTACTTGCTGCATGGAGTGTTAAGTTTCTTCGATTTCGGGCAAGATTATTTAAATGCATTGGCAAAACGGCTTAGCGGCCTCTACCATTCGTTATACGATTCATGAACCAGGGGTTAAGCGTTGTGTTTTCATGGAGTCTTCGGGGAATAGCATAGGAGCTACTGAATTCATCCTAGGATGGGAGCCCTGTAATAGATAGATTACTAGTATTTGATGCCTAATGCAGCCATTCATTACCTTCCGATTAGAATACCGAATCTCTGGCATAGGGACTGCAATCATTCCATAACAAGGTTTCGAGAAAACACAGTGAGCCAAGGTATCGATCCAGAAATTCTATCGGAAGTCGAATCCCGAAAGCTCCCTGTCTATTTCCGTACATGACAAGGTCAAAATGCCATTTCTAACCGGGCAACAAACTCCGCAAGCGGACTCCGCCAACGGAATTGAAGCAACACTCACCTTGCTGTAGATTCAGCTCTCTCTGGCGATACTTCTGAAAATCTCTACGCCGTCATGGTTCGACGCATCCCTCGGCTCCCGCGTCGTCGATGCTCAACCAAATGCCGGATGTCGGTGAACCATGAACGAAAGCGAAGCACACCCGCATACAGACTAGCTCTAAATACCACTGACCATGGTCTCGATATTGTTTGTATCAAACTGTATTGCATATCTGTTTACCAGCTGTGCACGTCGTTGAGCTGTTTGAGGTTTGTCGAAAAGCCCTAGGATGGAGGAATTTCAAGGTCACATTCGCAACAGCTCTAGAACAAAGTCCAGTTTCCAAAGTATTGCCGTACACACTAAGCCAGTATTAATTTAGTAATTGAAGATTATCTTAGATATCATGCTTCTTACCTGCATTCTCGGAGCCCGTGAGGTCCGTAGCACCGAAAGAGATTCCGATGCAATGCAACATTACATACGGCAAGTTTCTAAGCACATCGGACGAGACTTCCGATAGAACTCATAGTTGACATTATTTTACCTTTTAGATGACACAAAAGCCTCCCGAGCCCCATTCTGTCGTCAAGTGTCCTCTCATACCTTACCAATCCTAGCCTTTGTTTGAAGACGACATTTTGTTTCCATTCGAGCAAGCCAAACCGCAAAATCCAGACTGAAACTATAGCCATAGAAATGTCCAAGACGGATATTACGCTCATTGGAGTCGGCAACATCGGCGCCGCAATGGTGAAAGTCTGGGTGAATGCTGGACTAACCGTCACCATGTGGAACCGAAACCATCAACGGCCATCTCTCAACGAGCTCGTCGAACAAGGCGCCGTTCTTGAGACAGACATCCAAGCAGCTATTCAAAACAGCAACGTAGTTGTATTGTGCGTCTCAACCTACGACAACATCATGGATGTCCTCGCACGTGCTCTTCCCTTAGGCGAAGGGGAACGCTCAGTCTCGGTCATCAATATCACAACTGGAACTCCCAAGGAAGCTCGCGACATGGAGACATTCTTGAAGAAGAACGGAGTCACTGCGTATTTTGACGGTGCCATCATGGTGACGCCGGCCTTGGTAGGCACCGAACACGCTTCAATGTTTTTCAGCGGCGAGAGCGAGGGCGAGTTCGGCAAGATATCTCGGCGTTGTCTGGAGCCGCTGGGACAAGTCCACTACATCTCTGAGGATTCTGGAGCAGCAAGCTTATGGGATCTCGCAGCCCTAGCTGCCTTGTATGGAACCTTCACCGGTGGTATCGTTGCTCTCAACCTGCTCAAACGCCAAAAGCCGAGAAAGAGCAACGTGAAACCCTCGACAACCAAGGAACCGATGGAAAAGATCGTATTGCCGCTGCTTTCGACTTTCTTATCCCATCTGTCCGATGTTGCCCAATCTCTGGATGAGGGAACGTGGGAAGAAAACTTTGGGAATCCAGCCTCGATGCAGATCAAGGGGCTCGAGACGATTTTGAGAGGCTTTCACGAAGAGAATGTCAGCAGCGAAGGACTCGAACTTTTCCATCGCATGCTGAAGAGGTGCATTGGAGAGGTTGGAAAGAATGCCGGCTTGGCTAAGATGGGAACGTACCTACATCAGTAATGGCATATATCTTTGCCTCGCCCATTTGGCCAAAGCCACAAAAACTTCACTGTGTGTATACCGCTATTACAGGTGAAAGCCAATTTTTAACAAGTCTATTATTGATAATGCAAGAAGAAAAGACAAACATGTTATTATCCCCCTCTTTGCAATTCAGCTCTCGAGGCATCGAGTTCAGCCACAATGTATCGATAGAGCTTTCAAGTACCCTTCATCATGATACCAGCCTGAAGGCATTTCAGCAATTATGCACTCAAGTCTGATCGAAATTAGACGTTGATGCTGGTTCTCACAACCTCCGGAAAAGCAGGATCACCCGCCTTGGTGAAGACAGACTTGACCCGCTTATGCAACACCAAATCAGCAAAAGCCCCAACAATTCCAGCAACGACCTTTCCAATCCTGCCAAACTCGAGAGTCCCAAGTTCGCTCTCCAACAAAGAGCGTGCTGCTTCAGGCAAAGTAAGGTTCAGTGAAGAAATGAGGTTGGGGAAATCTGTGAACGCCCCGTGCGTGGTGTTGCTGACAGTCAGGAGAGCTTTTGAGCCTCGCAGAGCGGGAAAGAAGACGTCCCAGGTCGGATCATCGGTCGAGTGTCCCGGCCGGCCAACGAGAGTAAAGGGCCGACTGAGACCTGCGTTGAGTACGGGGTCGAGAAGCTTGCCGTCCAAATTGATGCCACCTAAGATGCGCGAATCTTGCAACATTGCAGCCGCCGCCGTAGCGCCCCCCAAAGAGTGGCCAAACATAATCGTGCGCTTGAGGTTGACGCCGTTAATGGGGTTCTTTTGAAGATGTGAGAGCACAAAGGAGACATCGTCAGCTCGAACCTGGAATTCTGTCAGCTACACGTCGGCTACGGACTACTCGGGGTACAACTAACCTGGGTGAGAGATTCCAACTGTGTGGTATTGTCGGTGTCGAGACTCACAGCCTGATACACGGTTCCATCAGGAAACTCAACAAAAGAAGGGTCGTAAGGGTGGTCGATCGTAACGACAGCAAAGCCATAACTGGCCACCTCGCGAGCCATCGCGCCGTAGAGGAGGCGTGGGTTGCCCCAGCCAGGGGAGAATAGCACCAGCGGAAAGTTCGAAGGAGGACGCCTGCATGAACGTGCTCTAGGCTGGCAAAACTCCATCTCGAATGAAGAGAAGGTGCCGTTGGGTAGGCCGACAGCGACGCCCAGCTGATCGTAGGCCGCGGCCACGAGGGGCGTCATGTATGGCTCTCTTTCCATGCCCTCACAGGAGTTTTTTGCCTTCTCAACGGGCATGAAAGTCGAAGTCATAACTCGTCGTGAGTGCGTGTTGTTGACTGGGGCGTAAGGGTCAAGCCTGCTGTCATCGGTCAGGGCTTCCACCGACATGGAAACCGCGTAAGGTCCAGTTGGTCCGTTGACGAGAATCGCCTGAGTCGCTGAGGCGAGAACGCCTATGATCAACGCTGGGATCATGATGCCAGAAGTTAAAGGCTAGAAAGTGGTAGTAAAAGGTTTGATTAGGTTCTCGGTGCGTCAGATGTAATATAATCAAGAGAGATGGTGCTTGTCTGAGTTGAGAAAGATGAAACAGAACGAGAAAGACGATGCATCTTATACTCATCCATTGTCACTTTGTCCTGCCCATTATTACACTCGAAGACCCTTTCGCGTGGTTGCTTCCCATTTGAGACAAGTCTGATTAGGCCGGGCAATGTTGAAAGATGGAAAAAGAGAGTAGCTGCGCCATAACTTGAGTCGGAACTTTGAAGACAACTCGAGGCTTTGGCCCCCATCTCTCTAGGCACCACCTCAGCTTAGATGTTGCCTGTTATTCAATTGGCCATACTACCCCGTTTTACTGGAGATTCTTGCTTAGCGTCGCTCAATTGCTTCCGCTTTGGGTTTGGTGAGTTCGGGGTCCTGATCCACTCCCCGACGATCTCAACATCTTACACAACTTGCGCGAACCTTTCGTATACACACTCTCTCTGTGATGACTATTCTCGCAAAATTTGCGGCGAGTAACAAAGACTTTGGGCCATACGAAAATCACAGGTCTCTCATGGTATTCTGGCAAAACAAAAATGCATCTTGGGCCGTTCGACCGTCGGACTAGACGTTCTCGCTGCGCGCCGTGCGCTACCAGCCACTCGAAGGTACGGCAATCCACCCCTGTCTTTGCTATTGCTATTGCCGCAAGCAATTAGGCTTCTTCGAATTATGGTCTCCTAATTCTCTACGATCGAAGTGTTCCGGTTCAACTCCATGTGCTCAATGCCAGAAACGCTGCATTGAATGTGTATTTCCGGCAGTGTCGGCTCCGAGCAATGGAGCTGCAATCCGGCTAGCCAAGGGGAAGCTCTTCACGGCCAAGTCTTTCGCAACGCCTGTCACACAACGACCTGTCCCGCCGCTCTCGAATGAGACCATTACTTACATCTTTTATTTTGATATTTTTATACGCAAGAACAGCTTCACCGGTCAAGGGCCTGAATACGTAGCAGACGTTCAACAATTAGCCAAGACTTGCGGCCAAGCAGGAAGAGGCCCACATAACCATCTGCTGGACGCAATGTTGGCTCTGGGTGCTATGCAAGCGAATATCCTTGGCGCATCAGGCTGCCACAATAGTCTGCGTTTTGCGCTTGAACATTACTTGCAGTCCATAACCTCTCTCCGAGGAGCTGTCTTAGACTCCACATTGGCACGGAAAGATAGCATTCTCTGGTCAACCTTTTTCCTAGGGCTATTCGAGGTTCGTAAAGCTCAACAAACCTATCCGAATGCTCTTGTATACTTAGCCTCGAGACTTTTTTGATAGCAAGACAACGAGCTAACATTGGCAAAAGTTGCTTCAAGACGCCTCTGGCCAGAAGTGGCTACAGCACATGGTCTTCGGCACATCTCAGGCTCTCATCGCCAGCGGGCCGTCAGCATGCACCTCGGGAACAATGCGAAAGTTCTTCATACAGGCACGAACTTTTGAAGTCTGTAGAAGCATAATATTCAACCAGTCCAGCTTCCTGGCAACACCAGAGTGGATGAAGGTGACACGAAATCTTTCGGAAGAGGCAAACATTCAAAGTCGGGCTTCTGTAGATGATATCCTGAACATAATTGTGTTATGCTCCAGGCTTAGAGCACGGTAAGTTGACCGCTTTCTGTTTCTTAGTGTGATGTGCGTTAAAGAGATAATGCTGATATACAACTCCAGTACGGGCCAATTCATTACAACTTACGCCAGCTTCCCCGGAGTTGAGGTCCCATCCATCGATGCGCTAGAACTTGCCACAGAGGGCTTCTATCTTCGCGATGCACTTGATACTTGGAAGCTTGATGCATCATTTTCATCTGCCCAACACAATGAGATGCTTCTCGCAATGAGTTACTACTCGGCAACAAGCATATATCTCTCTGGAAACTATGACTACGACCTACATCACTGGCAAACGATGACCGTTGCGGTACCAGTGCTAAGCCGAGATGAGATATTGAAGCATGTTGAAGACATCTTGCAGACAACCAGGGAAGCGCTTCGATCCTCTACTCTATCGCCGCTTCTGCATCTTTTCCCACTACGAGTAGCAGGGGCAAGGTCCCAAGAATATTCCCAGCGGCAGGCCGTGACTGAGTGTCTGCTCGAAGTCAAAAAGCAATTTGCTGTTGCCGATGCGATGTTGGTCGAACTCGACGAGTTGTGGTCTTTAAGTCCCACTCAGACACCCTTAGACAGTTGAATAATATTAATTCCATCTTGGTACGCCGTGTCGAGATCGCAAGTTTCGTTGGAGATCTACTCGGGTTTCTTGTAGTTCGGTGAGACTTCTGACAATTGCCTTTGGTGCTCCCCCTTCTCAATCATGTCTTTGATGACTTCGTCTGCGACCTTCATAGCCTGAACACCCGCTGGCGCACCACAATAAACCGTTGCTTGGAGAATCGCCTCGCGGATTTCAAGCTCTGTCAGCCCATTTCTGATCGCCCCTCGGATATGGATTCCAAATTCAGCCCAGCTCTTCAGAGCAATGAGCATGCCGATGTCTGGTGTAGGCGTTAGCTCGAGGGCATACCACCTAGATGCATGCCATGCACACTTGCGGCAGGGCCCAGCTCGAATTAACTTACTTAGCAGGCTTCGTTGCTTGCGTTCCAGGCCAGGACGCGACCATATGTTTCCCCAAGCCCATCTATTTCGATTGATCTTAGATTGAAATTACGCTCAATGAATTGGTCGATATCGGGATTCATACTCCGTAATCAGCTCTTGTTGAGCAAAGGCGAATTCGCTAGAGCCATTGCGCATCGCGGTCTCGACATAGCCCTCTCCAACGACTTCGCGCCGGTTCTTCAGACCAGCTTCAAAAAGTTCAGCGCGCAGCTTTCTGCTATTTTCGGATGACATCTTTGCTCTGGGGTTTGCAGGAAAACGTCATGAACAGGTGAAGGTTCAAAGGCCAGTGCTACAGAAAAGCATGAGACCGAATAATACTAATATCTCTCCCCGTTTCACAAGGAATAACTCATCATCCGTGTTCGGCAGAGCTGCGGAACCAATTGAGGGGTCACATCCGAGCTTAAGGTGATAGAAATGACCGATGGCGCCGAATCAATCCGCAACCGGGGAAAAAGCCCACACCCCGCACTACCCCGATAACCCGCACGAAGTGTGAGGGCTATCCCGCGTTATCCCGTCTGCTGCATTCGATAGCTGCTCAAGTCTCAGATTTGCATCTCTAGCATCGTTACTGTATTCGGCACATCTAAGATCCTACTAAACCAGCTTAAATAAACTCCAGTAGGTCCTTCTTTGGCCTCTGAGCCAGCTTCCACTTTCCCTTATGTCCTTGCTCGTCTTGTTGATGACTTTCCTCGTGAAGACCCGGACTCTGCGCTCCTTTGTGGTTCCGCTGATTCTCATCATCATCATTATCCGGGTTCCCAGGCTCAGGATATTTCCTCAGATGCTCGACCGCCCAAATTAGCTCCTCGGAAAGTACAGGCGGCGTCCGCCCCTTGCCCCTTAGCGTCGGAAGACCGGCGACACGGAACAGCCAGTTGAGCCACTCAAACGTCTCGCCAGTTTCCCAGGCAATGTCGTGGAATTTTCTGCCTTCCTTCTCGACGAGCTCTTCCCTTTCCCTCTCCCATCGCTCCTGTTCCTCAAGGGACGGCAATGCAACGGACTCTCTGCCAGAAAACACTCTTGCCAATGCGATGGCCTGATACTCAAAACTCCTGAACGTGAGAACCCTTGGCATACCAACAATCCCCAACGTCTGGAAATCTTGGAAGAAGGTATGCCAGAAAGTCTTGATAAGCTTCCCACTTTTATAATCATACAAGGCTCTTCCTCCATTGGCTTCCGAGTTCCAGAAAGGGTAAGAGGGTTTATAGCCTGTGCAGTAGATGATGTGATCGACATCGTCGAGGTATGAGTCGTCTTCAAAAATTACACGCCCGTCGAGACGAAACTCCTTGATAATCGGTTTCCAAGCGATGCCCGGAGGCGGTTCGTCGCCATCCCAGCGGGACTTGGACCTCCGGGACTGATAAACGGGGGTACGGACTGTCTGAACCAGTTCTTCTGTCACATCATGGCCAGATGCGGAGTTTCCGATGGTAACAATTTTCTTTCCGGTGTAAGGTTGTGGGGTGCGGTAGGTCTTGGAGTGCACGACGCGGCCCGGAAATCTCTTGATGTACTCGTCCAGACCCTTGACGTGAGGAACCTGAAAGAATACTAAGTTAATCCAGATTCGAACAAGCGGGTTGCAGATTCATAAAAGGCTGTACTCACATAGGGTACCGAGTAGTGGCCGTTGGCGAAAACTACTGCATCAAACACCTCTTGCCACCAAACGTCGACGTTACGCGCAGCGTCAAACTTGCGTAGAGTCAACCTCCACTGCTCGGGCCTGTCTTTGGCCGGAATTCTTGTCACATCCTCAACTGTGGTGTTTAGTACCAGTATTGAGTCGGTCTTGTGCAGGGAAAAGTAGTTCTCAATATATTGTCGTGGAATCCAATGCGGCGCAAATGGTCCGTAAGCGAACCTGGAATCCGAAAATGACATCGCAATGTCAGGGACATTGGTTCTTTAGGATGTTATCAGAAGCCCTCTTTCGCATATCATGGGAAGTTTCAGCAAGACTTACGTCAATGAGTGATAAATCGGGGTCTGCGAGTAGCGTTCTTGTTGACTATGGGGCTTGACCTGGGGAAGCTCGCCCGGGATCTCCACTGCGGGATCGACATCGGGCGGGAGGCTCCCGGGTTGGAGTGGAGGTAGCTCTGATGGACTTGGGTCGTAGATCCTACAAGATTGAGTCAGTCATAATGGTCAGGATGAGAACCAAAAGGGAACCAGTACCATGTTCCGCCCGCGGACTCTCTTCTTTCGAATACCTGGATTCTTTCAAAGTAGTCTTCCGCTTGAAAAGCTGCAGCGGTAACAGCACCTAGTCGATATCGGAGAGATATTAGCCACTACCTTCAACTAAATGCTTGCATCAGATGATCTGCCGGCGGCTTGCATCTTTGCATCCGGAGAGCTGCCATGCGTGGCCCAAGAGGTACTTACCCGCAGCGCCCGCGCCAATAATGGCTACAGACTTGATCTTCCGTTCGCCTCCCATTATGACAGTGCGTCTTGAAGCTCAGACCAACAAATTACGAGGAATGGCTCAATCCGTTTGTCAGTCAAAGCGGTCTCACAAGCATATTTACGGTGTACAAAGTATTTAAAGCACAAGAGTCCAGAAGGAAATGAACTTCGCAATCGAGTCAGGTCAGATCCATTTGTCATCTATCAGACGTTAAGAGGGGTTTTGGTTGGAAACTGGGTTGATCGGATGTATTCGCCATCTGTCGCCATCCTCAGAAGCGATTTCACCATCGCTGCGTCACGTGAAGAATCGGATGTTATGTTCGGCATTGCGAAGAATCAAGATAACAGTTGAAATAAGAGGTCTGAACCTTGCCTTTCGAAAGTCAAATTGCTTGTATCTAGAATAATATCTCAGCTTAGTTTATGCAGAGAGGTCTTGAAAGCTTCTATCTAAGCCGAAAGCGAGAGGACCGAGGCGCAGTTTCTGCCGGCCGGGCCGGCCCGGATGCCGCTACCTCGTTTGATTGAGCGCTCCGTCTCACCGATTAAAATTGGGACCCCCGAACTAATAGCTACCGCTCAACAAGCTTGGTGATAGCCAACCAATGCTTTCCACAGACCGGCATTGGGATTACCAGTTTCCAACTACCTTCTCGCCTAACATTGCTCATAAGACCAAAATAGATCGTTTCGAAGCTGCTCTGGCGCTACTACTTCTACCCAAGACTTCGAATTCAGCGGAGTGCCGGGTTTGAAGTCCATTCGGACCCCGAGTGAGGTGGGCCGATGCGACCATCTCGGACATCATCACATTTGAGTCGGTCGCCAGCTCAATCATACAACCTACTACTTTCCGTTCGCAGAATCAACAAAACGTTTTGATCTTCGTCACTACCAGATTTGTATGATTTCACGCAATAAGTATGAGATGAACACCAACGGAATATCGAGTTCCGATGCCAATGTCTGTTGTACTAGATAGCGAGTCGTACATCTGACGTAGCGAGTCATTGAGGCATACTCCTTAATGCTCGAATCATCTACAGACATGAACCCATCTAGCCAAGGTAGGCGACCTCTCCAACACAAGCGACAGAAATGTCATTGCATCTTCAACTCGTACTCGAGGACCCCACACACACGATGGCACTCTGCAGCAATGCCACGAAGTTGGTCGCGTTTTGGTCGAAACACCGCACTGAAGTTTCCATTAGGCACAAGATTCTGCCTTGTTGGACCTGATCTGGAAGCTCCCGATGCATGAGCAAGGATGCTCAGACAGGCCTCACTGGCTCAGGGGGGCGCAGCTTCCGCAACCAACAAGGGCGCTTACAGCTTAACGTCGTAGGTAGGAAATTGCATCCCGGAATATTTCTCAAAATTGTGCTGAACCCGATGATTGCTGGTATTTATACCACTGAGAGGCCGAGGACTCAAGAGTGTGGGCTTCTAAAACACCTGCTCATCGATTAGTCCCTCAGTTGCCGTCGCTTGACAGGTTCAGATTTCAATACACAAGATTTCACCCATCATCCCGCTTCAACTATTAATATACAATGCAGAATTCCCCACCGCTTAAGGTCGCGAAGCGCAGGGCTAGGCCCGTGAAAGCAGCGCAGCCGAGCACAGCTTCTTCCCCTTTGGCACCGGCCACAACGGGGACGACGCCCGATCAGCCACCACGCCGAGCTTCAGTCAATGTTCCTTCTTGGAATCAATTCGCCGGCCCCAGTTGGACCCCAAATTCTGAGAAGCCTGATGAATCTGAGGTGGACACCCCGTCGAAGAAAAGCGTCCCCAGAAACAGATCAACATCTGCGATGTCGTTGAAATCGGCAAAACCTCCCCACATCGAGAGACCTGACAACCTTGGGCGAAATTCTGGCGACCTTGGCAACGTCACTCGGGCTAAGCCATCTTTGCACAGTTCTTACACTTCCCCAAGCCTAACCTCTGAAATTGAAAGACGAAATCAACGGCCTGTCGTACAGGATCGAAGTGCAAGCGAGCAACCTTCAACGCCAGCAAAGAAGCTTAGCGGCCCCCAAATCGACCGCAAACTTGAGTTCATGATCAAGGCCGGCCCTAAGGCAAAGTCTGCGGGCTTCCTCTATGTACAGGTCACCCAGCCACGCGAGATCAAACAACGTCTACTCAAAATCGGCGTCACCAAATTCCTTCCAGAAAAGCGTGGCAAAGACATTCAGTCCCAGTGCAAACACCCAGAGTTTTTTGAACATGAAGATGCACCAGCAGTGAAATTCTCCTGGAACGGCTTTGCCGAAAAGCTGGTCCACGCCGAGTTGACCAACTTTTGTCGATCATGGGCCTGCGGCTGCGGAAAGAAGCACAGAGAATATTTCGAAGTGAGTGATGAAATCGCTCTGGAGGTCTGGAGCAGATGGACAAAGTTTTGTGAACAGGAGCCGTGGGATTCCCAAGGCAGGCTGTTGCCAATGTGGGAACATAGACTGCGGCATAGAGTTCGGTTCACCGACTCAAAACAAGATTTCGATCATGGAGAGCTTGCCAAACACTGGCGAACATGTGTCTTGCCAAGTTCGATAGAGCTCCTCATAAACGACACTCGGGTTCTCTGGAATCATATCTACCCCAATCGTTGGCATTTTGCTGCCGTGGCGGAGGCACTTACAATGGTTTTCATATGGCCAACTTCTTTCTGGACATCAATGTGGTGGAAGGTGATTCTCGTTCTAGCTATGCTGGAGCTATTTTGCCTGGACGGCATGTACATGAAGGAGTCTTTTTCCAGCCTTCTGAGTGGAAGTCTTCAACGCGTCAAACTTTGGTCGCTATCGGACTTGCCAGAGCATGGGCCAGACCTAGAAGCCAAAGATCCCTCGCCAGCCGTCTCTTCTGAGCAGCAAGCTCAAAATGGGCTTCATGAAGATGCAGACACAGAGATGATGGAGGATGTTCCCAATGGCGAGGATGACGACATTGTTGATGGAGAGTGGGATGAGTCTGATAACAGCAGTGACGATGATCAGGTTATGGACGAAGATGTTCTTTCTGATCAGAGTCCCTAGGCAACCTCTACCAACTCACGACTGAGTAAAATCAAGCCTAAGCGAGTGATATTAGGCACAAGCTTCTTTCCGGATTACAGTAGTAGGCAGCGAAATTCCATAGTGATGGACTCTAACTGAGTCTCAGTATCTTGCTCTTAGTTCAAAGGAAATTTCAACTCCGTTTGGCCATTGCTATGTTGACTAATACTGCTCCTTAATCACTATGATAACAATGAGTCCGAGTAGAAGGGCCAAAAGTTTGAGTCTCACGGCTAGACATAATTGGAATTTGTACAACTATGTCATGATGCGCCGCCAAGGCGATATTGAGGAATTGTAAAACACCAGGCTTCCTTTCCAGTATTGTGAGGAAATTTGTCTGCTCTGAGTCCATGTTGATCATCGGGAGCTAGTTTACCCCGCTAGGCCGCCTAGCAAACGTCCCGCTTATTGTTTTGTACCTCTCTACTTCTTTTTTCCCAAAAGGGTAAAAGCCTAGCATAGGAATTACGTAGATACTGCCAAGATTGCTGACAGTCCCCCAACAGCACCCAATCTTCCCAATGCGGCTCGAAGCTGTGCCTTGTAGTCTGAGACAAGCAGGGCTGAATGCGAATCTGGCGCGACATGTAAGCTCACTGCGCATGCAATTTGTTTGCCAAATTGAGACTTTGGACGTCCTCTGTGGGCTCAGTCGGGCTCAGCTTTTCGTCGCCAAGGCGCCAGTTCCGACTTGATGGAATAAGTTATTGCGATGATTTGACGAATCAGCCGCATAGCCTCGATCCTCTAACTTAGAACCTTGTTTTTTGCTTGTTTTCTCGAATTGATAGCCACTATCCAGGCAGTCAATATCCTCTAGCCACTTCAAGCTGATCCTGTCATTATCGCTAACATCCATCTCACACCTCGTCGCACATATAAGAATGCAAGTCGGTGCAATAGAGGAGGATCATATCTCCTGAATATTCATTCACACATCATATCAAACCATTTCAACTCTCAAATCGGTCACCATGAAATTGCAAAGTGCTCTAATCAGCCATCTCCTCCTGGGATCAGTCAGCGCCCTAATAGTACCGACTGAAGCCCATACCGCCCTACGGAGAGACGACCATAATTCTTCGGTGCCATCAAACCAGTCATCCATCCAATGGACAGAGTGTGACCTGGATTTTGGAGAGGCTGGCAACGCTGGTTTTGACGCTATGCCGGAGAAATTTCAGTGCGCCAAACTCGAGGTTCCGCTGGATTATACCAGTCTCAGCTCTGGTGAAACCATCCAGCTCCAATTGATCAAGGCCAGCGCAAACAAAGAACCCTACATGGGAAGTATGCTGTGGAACCCCGGCGGACCAGGAGGCTCTGGCGTCGAGTCAGTTGCTGCTCTGGGGCTCAAATTGCGAAAGTAGGTCGTTATCAGCATCATTGCTTCTCATCTGCTGACTCACTGATTGTAGCATCGTTGGAGGAAATTACGATATCATTGGATTTGATCCTCGGTAAGTATCATGCCATTTTAGCACCCCGTTTTCATTACGATTATGACTGACACATTCACAGAGGCACTGGCAAAACCATTCCATATGTCTGCAACGTGTCATCGGCTGAGACTTCTGTTACCCGACGTGATTTTGATACGCTACCCAAGGGTGATATCTGGAACAGTATCAAGACGGTAGACTGGGAACTCTGGAAAGTCACGGCCGATGCCTGCTTCAGAGACTATGCCAAATACGGCCGCTTCGTCGGCACACCTTTCGTTGCCAGAGACATGATTTCGATCGCTGACGCCCTCGGTCAAGGCCCCAAGGTGAACTACTGGGGCGTCTCCTACGGCACCGTCCTCGGACAAGTCTTCGCTTCCATGTTCCCTGACCGCGTGGGACGTCTTGTCTTGGACAGTAACCTTATCGCCGACGACTATGCCGATACCACGTGGAAGACCGGCCAAAGAGACACAGAGCGCGCCCTACACCACCTCTTTGACGAGTGCGTCGAGGCTGGTCCTGAGGCCTGCGTACTAGCCAACTTCACCGGCGCCGACACTACCGGGGACAGCCTGATGAAGGCACTCGAAACTCTTCTCGAGGAGCAGATCAATGACAAAAATGACACCGCCAACGAGAAAGACGACATCGTATCTCTCTTCAAGATTTCCCTGTTGGCAGAGCTCTACAAGCCTCTACAATACCCTCTGGCCGTCGAAAGAGTCCACGCCGCCTTGACAGGCAACTGGACCCGCGCCATCGCCTCGGCAGCGAATGCACTACCGTCCGAATGGAACGAAGGCGGCACCTTTGGCGTCTGGGGCATCTCGTGCGCGGACTCTTCCTTCCGCGTCGAGAACGTGGATGATTTGTACTCTATCTACCGAACCCACTGGGAGGGTAGCTCTTTCGGCGAAGCCAGCGCCAGGCTGCGCATGCAATGCTCACGCTGGAGGTTCGATGCCGCGGAGAAGATCGACCTCAACGCTTTGAGGAACGTCAGGACCAGCTTTCCGGCTCTCATCATCAACGGCCACTGGGATCCGGTCACCCCTGAGAACACGGCATGGGAGATTTCTGCGCGGTTCCGGAACAGCCGGGCTGTTATTCATCACGGTGTTGGTGTAAGTACTTTCGTGTCATTTTCCCCGCAAGTATCAATGCTGACATGTCTTTCAGCATGGATATACCAATCACCCCTCTAGCTGCGTGGACAACATCGTCCGTGAATATTTCCAGAATGGCAAGATGCCCGAGATCGGGACTACGTGCGAGCCGGATATGACTGCATTTGAACATGTCGCTTCCCAAGCAAAGAAGGCAGAGGAGAGTGAATAGTCGAGGGTTAGTCTAGCATTTCGAGGCTTTGTAATTACTTTATGCATCTGGAGTGGCTGTACGTGCATCAGTGCAAGTAGAGAAGCTTTTCCCATTTCGCCATTAGGGACTCGGTTTTCTCCCTTGTTTGTCTGTTCACTTTTTCTGAGATCACTTTCTTCTGAGACCACTTTCTTTTCTCCATCAGAGAGCATCATCGTTTTTATTCATTCCATCAGAAAACTTTTCTTCCCACGCTACTTGCTCCGGTTAGCTACGGGATTGTATAGTCTTACTTGAGAGTTTCCAAGTATCCCGCGTAATCCCACTTCTTGCCATCCCTCCAAAAGCCTTCCACCACCGGCCCATGTGGCGTATTACCGTCTACCGACACCTCATTCAGCCAACTCCAGTACGTCGTCGCCTTCCATCCATTAGTCTTCCAGTCATTAATATCCCTCTCCGGCTGCTTGTTGAAGACCGGCAACACATCCAGCAGACTTGCGTCGTGCGCGATGCAGACCATGACATTGTCCTTGATATCCAGCTCACGCATCTTTGCAACCGACTCGGTGGCCAGGTCAATATCTGTATAGACAGGGTGTTTACCTCCGCGAGGAAGCTCATACCAGGGCGTGGTAGACGCCGATTTTTCGTCCGACGCGTTAGGATGGTGAGGAGTAAAGTGAGAGCATGGGCACACGGCTTTGGACGCCCAATCTCTGCGCAATGCAATGGCCGAAGCGGGAATCCCATTTGGGAGCGGGGTCTCTTCCGACGGCCGGAAGACGCCCGCAAAATGGCAGATGTCACCGCCCAGAAAGACGAATGTGGCTCCCTCGGGGGACGAAGACGGCGTCGTCCGGGCGAGACCGCATATGTGCTCTGGCTGATGGCCCGGAGCATCAAGAAGGTAGAAGGAACCGTCGCCGAAGAAGTCTTGGGCTTTGAACTTGCCCACCATCAGACCTTTGTCGAAGTTGGCTTCCTCGAGCGGTCGACCTTCAAACTCTGCTGCCGCTTGTGGATCATCTCTGCCCCCGGGTCTTCCTTTGGACGAGAAGTATCCAGGTCCAGTAACCAGCGTTGTTGATTTGGGAAAGACGGACACATCTCCGCGGTGGTCAAAATGGGCGTGAGACCAGATGCAGTAATCTATATGGTCGTGTGAGAGAGAAGGTTCTTGGGAAGCAATTGAGAGACAAAGGCTCTTACCAATCGACTTTGGATCTACTCCTCCATCCGCCAACACCTCATCGATGCCCTTTGGTACGCTCATGCCAAAGATCACGCTATCTGGCCCCAGCACTCCTTGTTGGGCGCCCTTGGGTAGGTTCCAGTAGTCTTTTCGGACGCCGAGATCGAACATTGCCTTTTTGCCGAGTTTCTCATGTTCGAGGAGGAAAGCTAACGAGCAAAAGTTGATGACTTCATGCCCTTTCACGACTGGCTGAACGAAGGACTCGGCGACGCCAACCATGGCAGTTGTCGTATCGACAAGCTTCACGCGCACAACATTGTCTGATTTTGGAATGTTGGCCATTTCGTCGATTTTGTTGATGAATCTTAGTATAGTGGATTTACAAACTACGGGACGACTTAAGGGAGATAAAGAGGGGAGAGATGCCAGAGAAAGTTTCCTGAGCCGCATGGTGCCCCGACGTCATCGGTGATTATCAAATGAACATGTCTTCTCCACTTCCCCGGGTTTTTGCATCCAATGTGGAAAGCTTATTGCTCTATCACCACGCGACGTTGGAGGTGCAGGAAATACTTACCCGAAGGTGCCGCAAACCAGCCAGCCAGTGTAAAGTCGTGCCACCTGCAGGCCACAGCTGCGACTCCGTATCGTATCACCGATATGAAAAAAGAGTCTCTTGATGTAATTTGTACAAATGTCTAGCGGGGAGTCGAGAGTCCCTAAAATGCAACCATCCAAACGCCTGCGCGCGTGCCAAATGCTCTAATTTAGTAGTATATCGTACCCGTCTCCCATGATGCGAACCTCTTCGCTGCCGAGACCGTACTTTCGTCGCACCAGTTCAAAAATGATCAATCCAGCGCTTGTGCTGGGAACCTGGCGGATGGTGTTCCACCAGAAACCGCGCCATAGCCATTTCCTCACGCCCAAACCTTCCTTTGCGGCCTCCGCGCAGCATTCTGACCAGGTCTCTTTGTAAGCCCGATAGTAGGCCCTCGCCATCCTCCATCCGTCTTTACGGTGCGCCGGGTCGGCTCCCTTAGTTTCCCTCAATTTCGCTGCCTTGGCGTCAAGCTCCTCGAGGCGATCCCAGTGCTCTACTTGCACGTGAGTCAAGGGATGAAGAACAACTTGTTGGGCAAAGGATGCGCTGAGTCCTCCGAGAAGCAAGAAGATGGGTTCTATCGCATAGTGCGGCCGAATAATGAGAGACTGCTTGTTGTCATCTTCCGGTTTGCCATTCTTCGCAGGTCGCTTTTGGGCCATAAAGTCAACAATGTGCTCCTCGAGTCCGCCGTAGTACCAGGAGACAAAGCGGTAGTATCCTTGCGCCTTGACGTATTCGAAAACGCTGAAGAATACGGCTGCGCCGAAACTGTCCTTCATGAGGGAAAGACCCCATCCCGCGAAGATGCCACGCACACCAATCTCCCTCAGCTTCTCGGCACTGAAGGCCCACATGCTTCTGGGTTTCCCACCTTCCGTTGGCATGAGGTCGCGGTGATCATACCGTGCCTGGATGGCATCTAACGGTGCCGCGATGAAACTCTGGAGACTTCCGGCGAGAAATCCTGCGGTGAAGGTCTGCGTCGGGTGCGGTGGTGGGTAGACAGTCTTTGTCGCTCTGCCGCTCTCCTCATGCAGGCTGCCAAGGATCGTGAGGTAGCTGGTATACAGCACGGCCCCGACGCCCACGTTTGCGATGAGCGGCGGCAAGACTTGATTCGGGAGCACGCTCCAGCCGTGCTGCTTCACCGCCGACGTGAGCACGCCCGGCGTGGTGCCCCGCAGATAGAACCATGCCTGGTTCAGCGTCGCCTTCAGCTTAGTCGAGGGCTCCTTGGCGGCGGCCTGGGCGAGCAGCTCGATCTGGGCCTGGTGCACACTGCGCGCATAGGCGAGGTAGTCGACGCGGGTGCGGAAGAAGGCCTTGACAGGAGCGCGGAAGTAAAATGCGATGGCCTGGGCGCTCAAGGCGCGCACGCCGGCGGCCGATGCTGCGGTTGCGGCGTTGCTGCGCGGGTTCTTGTCCGGAAGCTGGGCATCGGGCGGTAGGACGGGGAGGACGCCTGTAAACGGGTCGTATGTCGTTGTGCCGTCATCGAGACGTCGTGTCATTGTATACTGCTTTTCATCGTCCCCTACAGGTGAATTATCCTGGATGAGATTCAAGTCGGCAAAACTTGGCATCGGTTGAGATCGGTTCGCAGATTCTCGGTGTGATGACTAAGCGCGTGACCCTGGTAAAGTGGGTACCTTTATGCCGGACGTCTCCCGCCTGTGACTGTCAGCACGGGGTACCTAAGGCAACCACATGATATCTCCAGCTTGAGATCCCATGACAACCTTCACAGTCCAAGATTTAACTTTTAGGCCTTCCAGGAGAGTTCTTATATCAGCATGAAAAATAATTCTGTTTTACCTCTCGAATTCGAAGTCCCAAAATGAAGAGGGGGGGGGGGGGGGCGGGTTTCATGTTTTCGATAATACTTATTTCTCGATACGGCAGATATAAGGAGTGATGCAACTTTTATACCAAACTGGGATCCGAGGTCACAAATTCTCTCTCTGTCTATATACGCATGTTATCATGTTGTTGATGGTGTACATATGAGACATGACGGACAATACTCGATCTTGGATGATGGGAAAAGGCGTGTAGCTATCGAAAAGGTTTTATCGAATTATTATAGAGCTCAGAAGAGCCCTATCTTAAGTTGGACTCTAATAGTAATAGCAATCGCACATATTGTCGGACGAGCGCCTGAAACTGTAAGTAGACAATCCAAAAATGATTCCGGAGAAGATAAACGCGCACCATATCTAGCATAGCCATGATGATCGTTCTCGTCAATGCACCATATTGCGTTAGTCAGGCGTTCTTTGAACTTGTCTATTTGATCCTGGAAACCAACCTGGCCACATCGCTGACCGCAAGCCCAGCTGTCGTCGCCGTTGTAGTTGCCGTTCTCTGAAAAGTCGTTAGTTTCCATCGACCGTTATTTAAAGTCTCACACCAGGGCCACACATACTCCCCACTCTCTAGGGGGTTGTTGGCAAACTACTCTGGCGATTTCAGCTGTAGCTAGACTGCTGAAAAGAAGGACAGCGATAGCGGAGGCTTTCATCTTGGATAAAATTCTTTGTGGAGTGTTATAAGAAATCACGATGAGAACTATTATTGAAATTCGGAGGGTGATCTACTGAAAGTGGTCAAGAACACCGAGGGTGTTAATAGCTTGATAGCCTGACATCGAGGGTTGCCATTGCCTAGGCATGCCGTTAATTCACACGCTGCAGCGCCAATAATCTCATTCACGCAACTTGAAGTCGATTCCACTCTCGAATCCTGAACTGTCCCAAATTGCCTCTTTACCATGTTTTACCCCGCACCCGATAATCAGTCCTCATACTGAAAACTTTGAGTGATCTTGCAAGTATGCGAGTCAGCAGTCTCAACCCTGGTTGGTGTATTGTATATAGAAATAGGTGGGAATGGAGAGATTGAGGGGCTCTTTGATCTGTGAATGGCTTTGGACATGATTCGAGGCTTTGATCAGTCGGAGGTTCTGTTGCACCGATGGGAATGTGTATTGGTCGAGAGTAATCTAGACGCGGATCCAAATTCGTCTTGGAACGTTGGTTCACTAAACACTCTTCGTGATCATGTTAGGAGTGGTTAAGCAGCACACAGGAGGTATTTAAACTCAAGTGCGTCCCCTCAGTCTCTGCCAATTTTCGAGTGGCAGAAACCTCTCGTCAAAAAGGTTCAAAGAGAACCTGAAGTCTTCTTATGAGACAACAATCATAGACCCAACAGCCTGCTAGAATAAATGCCGAATCGAAGTGGTAATGAAGTAGAAAAGATCGATGTTGTGCATTTCCATTCCCGGGTGGTTGATGTCAGATGCTCCCCGTAAGGTAGGGAGTCTGACTAATCCTACAGTGGTCTGTTGCTGGATTTTACGCTAAGCCCAGCCTCTGTTGGCTGCCTGCCCTACTTACCTCCCAGAGGCCCAGCAACTACAGCTCAACATCCCAAACGACTACGTAAGATGTGGAAAGCTACCCGGCACCGCCTTCATCGTGATCGGTTTTCCGCACTTCGGTGAGCTAGTCACGATACATCTCGGGCACCATGAAACTCCCTTCCGAAATACTTGACCAGGTCCGTTGAATCTCTCTCAACTGTGTGCGGTCGGCTAATCCTGCGCCTTCGATAGGTCCTTGATGGGTTGATGGTCTACCAGCCATTGGCAAAAGTCCGAGGCGTCTACTCTCTAGGCGACTGGAAGTTTTTCACGTCACACTCAGCGCGGCTTCCTGTTAATACGCGACACGGTTCCGGCTCCTTGCAGAAGTTTAACCGGGGCGAACTGCCCCCCATCGGAGGCGGCTTCTGGAACTTGCGCTTGGTCTCGCGCCAATGGAACTCCTCCGTAATCAGAATGCTGCAGAAGCACGAATGGTGGAGCGTACCCTTTGATGATCGGAATCGTCTCGAGAAACTCATCCGAATCTGCGACGGGCCTGATGGCGGTCCATGTAGTTGGATCAGAAGTCTCAGCCTCCACGATCTCGATGGACTACGAACTTTCTCGCGGTTGTACTCGTACGACTTTGAGATGTAAGATTTACTCGCCCACCGCCATGTCCTGAGCACTCTCCGTCTTTGCAAAACGCCAGCAAGCTTACTCGAGTCTACTCCCTGTATCAGAACGAACGACTGACTCAAGGCTGACGCAGGTTCGAAGGTCAGGATGTCGATGACGACTACATCATCTTGAACTCCTATGTCGACAAACTTAGAACGACAGATTGGTGGACCTCGAACCCGACACGCTCTAGGCACGAGCTCCATTACGGGAAGAACAATGAACACGCGCTTCTTCGACGCTTTTTTAACACTGTCAAGCACATAGAGCGCTTCAGTGTTGAGTTCCCTGCGGCACACAGCAAACACGATCTCATGGCAAATTGTTACGACATGCAAGGCGTAGATGAAGTTTTAGCAACAGTGAAACACGGTCTGACCAGTCCGGGATTCCAACACTTAGTGGACCTCAGCTTTGCGGTGCCTTCGACGTGGCATATTGGACAATTGGCTGGTGGCCTCTCTCAAGATGTTCGGGATCGCCTTAGGAAGCTACGCTTGGTTATCGTCGACGAGACTGGACCGAGCGGAAGCGCACAATACACCAAGATAGAGGAGGAAAATAACGACGGCGATAGAACGACTATCCTGGGATCGGTTGCGCCGAGTAATGTGCAGGCAACCTATCCCAACAGAGAACATCAGGACGCACTCTGGGCCTTGGTGGCATCTTGCCCCAAACTTGAGGCACTCGGCATCGAGGCGACGCATTATCTCTACTTGGACGTTCAGCAGTGGGACAATCCCCGATTCAAATCCAAATATCTGCGCGACCTCTCGCTCCGCCGGATATGGACAAACATACCGTCGCTTCTACAACTATTGTCGGCGGTTCCGTTATCGTCACAGGATTCGGCGATCCGCCGGGTCAACTTTGACGACGTCAAGATTCACTGGGATGGGGGCAATTGGGAAGACGTTTTTGCGCACCTGAGGACGAACTGCCCTGATCTTGAGATCTTTCGCGCAGAACAGCTCAGCTACTTTTCCAACCATCCGCGTTACGAGCACAACAACAGGCAGTGGGAGAACTATAATTCTATTTGGACGGACGACTACGATGAGGACGCTAACGATAGGCTGTTCTTGCAAATGCTCGATATGAAGCTTATCAAGAAGGCTGGGTCGCGGGAGGATTATCCTGTTTCGGTGTATGATTACGATTCTGAGATGGAGGAAGAAAAACCATAGGTAACCCATTGAAAGCCCAAGTTGAAAAGCCGCGAAGACTCGCAGCATACTGAACACCAGTTCACAGCGCGCACGCTCCTCTCAGACTGCATTCGATCTTTGGTCTTATTCAGAGTCTCGTGCGAGTCCGAAATATTGTGGTTCCAACCAGACAAACGGTCAAATACCTAAACGAGGTCAAACATCGCATGCATTCAGCCTTTTAATCAGGGATACGAAATCCTAGGGAGCTAGGTTCTCAACAGTTCGGCTTCGGCTCCATTGATCGAATCATCGGCTTCGGCTTCAAAGTTCATTCCCGCCCGGGCCCAAGGAATCGAGACAAGCAGAATCAGACATGATAGATGCAATGCAGAAGTCTGTGTTTCGATCGGCGGAGAGTTGCATATACAATATCTTTGCCGCACATTGGTCCGGTCCCTGGCAGCATGCAGTGCTGCCCAGAAAACTCCAGAGTGATTCTCAATCTTGCCGGTGATACACTCCGATCGGTGCGACATCGACTTCGGCGGCTCTCTGAACGCGATTGAGGAAGATTGGTAGACCAGAATTGATGCAGAGATTCAGCGAGATGTGAAGTTATACAGAAAGGCGAGACGGTGGCACACGTACGACAGCATCGCGGCAGGTTCCCATGTACCACATCGGGTCGGCTCCGATACCCGGCACCGGAACGGGACCCCCGCTGGCCGGGATGGAAGGAACCCCCCACTCTAGGATCAGATCCTTCGGCCCACTACAAAAACGCCGCTCTATGTAGACAAGTCTGCAGCGGGAAAAGCAAGACACCCAGCCGGGGAAGTGGGCAATATCTCCTCCCTCCCCCCATCGCATTCGCTGAGCGGTGTTCGCGCCTGCTAATCAGGTAAGCTAAGCGGGCACATATCGGCTTGAGTCCGCGCTGTACGCTTCTGCCGCCTTTGCATACCCGCTATTGCGTGATTGGACAATGAACAATTTTTGAGGCCATTGGTATGGGCAACGGCGACGGAAGTTGGAGGGGCAGGATAAGGATCTTTCTAGTTCGACGCCCTTATTGTACACGACAAGGTATCCCGTCTTAGTGAGAGTTGAGCGTGATGCAGATGGAGGGGGGTTGGAAGCGAGGGGTTTGAGGTAGGCCGTAAGACTTGTAGGAGGGCCAACGCCGTCGCTGACAGTTGAAAAGAGTCAGCAGGTCCGGCAAACTTGGGCTTGCCAGCGTGCAAAGGCCGGGGCCGTGACCGGCGGTAAGCGGTAGGCGGGAGCAATACCGCAGCGCCATGTACTCCTTGGGTCCTTTTTCTGCATGGCTGCTTACTACCAACGTTAATATTGCGAGGTCCCTCGGGGAACAAGGAAACGGCGGATCCCAAGAGTAGAAAAAAAAAAGGTACAAAAGTAGGTACACCGATTTATTGAGTCAACGGCTTTCCGGGGCAAGGGTGAGCAGAAAAAGGCGTGCTTTCCTCGCGCTCGCGTCCCATCTCAATGCGGAATTTCTCTTTCCTGCCTTACCTGAGATTCGTCTCTTTTCCTCTTTCTCGGTGATCAGTCTACTTTTCTCCTTTCACCTCATCCCATCTCTCTTGACTCATGACATTCGCTTGCGGTCTGTCACTTATGTCATCGAATTGTGTTTCCTGAGCCTCAATCCTTTGATACTGAACAGCAATTGTTAGCAGCGGAGGACACCAACGTTGTTAGGCTTGACTTTGTTTTCTCTTGCGCGCGGTCCATCTGCAATATTCTATCTCAAATCTGCAGAACCTAGATCTCTCGAGTAAGCTTTTCAACCCCCGGCCCCATACCTACCAAGACCGCACAAGACTGATTCATGAAGGCAGATCTCCCGCCCGGTCCCATCGTGAAATTTTCTGAATGCCATCCTTGTCTGCTCTTCCGTAAAACCAATTCGTCACAATGGCACCCCGGAAAGCCAACCCGGCCTCGTCGTCGGCGGCGTCAAACGTCAACCACTCCACCGAGCGCACGCCTCTCCTCCAAGTCGACGAGCCCACGACCCCTCTCCCCATCACCCCGCAAGACGAAAACGCCATCCCGCCAAACGAATTCGACCTCTTGCTCTCCAGGTCCATTCCCTCCACGGGACCCTTCCTCGAGCCCGAGTCGACCGTGAACCCCCTCCTCCGCGGTCCCCGGCGCTACAGCACGGCCTCCAAGCACCGCCGGCCCTCGCTCGCAAGCCGCTCCGACCGCGCCTCCGAGGCCGGAGGCATCGCCGCCGTAGACGATGACAGCGACAACGACGACGCCGTCTCCGTCAGCAGCAGCGTCGCCTCGACACCCTTCCTAAACGGCATCTCCCGCTCCCGCTTCTGGTTCATCTTCTCCGAGATCCTCCTCACCTACTTCATCGCCTGCTTCGACGGCACCATCATGGCCTCGTCCCACCCCGTCATCACGTCCTACTTCAAGGCCTCCAACAGCGCTTCGTGGCTGTCGACGGCGTTCTTGTTGACGTCTTCGGCGTTTCAGCCCATCTTGGGCCGGTTGTCGGACAGCGTGGGCCGGAAGCCGCCGTACGTCGCCACCATGGTCATCTTTTGTCTCGCGACGGTGTGGTGCGCGCTCGCGCAAAGCATGACGAGCTTCATCCTTGCCCGGGCGGCATGCGGACTTGGCGCCGGCGGGATGATGACTCTGGGTAGTATCATTGTCAGCGATTTGGTTCCGATTGAGTGAGTGGTTCCCTTCAGTCTGCAAAAGTCGTTCTTGTGCGCTTTTGTAAGAATGCACACGAACGTCCACTTCGACATTACCTCACCATGAGAAGACAGTCACCGTGAGAAGGGTCTGGAAGCTGACAATGACACAGGAACCGCGGCGCATACCAATCCTACATCAACATGATCTACGGCGTGGGATCCGCCCTCGGCGCGGCCCTGGGCGGCGCCATGGCCGACCACCTCGGCTGGCGCTGGGAATTCGGCATCCAGGTTCCGCCCCTCATCATCTGCTGCATTATCGCCATGATCGCCGTCCCCAGCGATCTGGGTATGGCTGGCACCAAGCGGGAGAGCTTCGTCGAGGCCCTCAAGGCTTTTGATTTCAAGGGCTCCATCCTCCTGACCACGACCATTACCTTCTTCGTTCTTGGTCTTGTAAGTTTTTATCTCCCGTCTTTCCGGCCTCGTAGAATTGCATGAAGGGAATCTATTAGGCAGTGGCGTAGCCAGGCTCTTTGAACACATGAACTAACGTCTTCTTCCCGCAACGTTGTAGAACCTCGGAGGAAATGTTCTCCCATGTAAGTGGCTTCTAGATCAGTCCCCATAGATATGATATCGCCCCTCGTGACAGTGAGCTAACGAAGATCCAAGGGTCCCATCCTCTCGTCATTGCATCTCTCGCCATCTTTGGCGTCTGCTTCCCCGTCTTCCTCTACGTCCAATCCTACGTCAGCCGACCCATCATGCCCCTTTACCTAGTCCGGCGCTCGCCTCGAATGAACCTTATCTTTTCCAACTTCTTCGCGGCTCTCCTCAGCAATGCCATCCTCTTCAACATGTAAGTCTCCGGTGTAGTCCCCGTATTCATCTAGACACCCCCGAAGACAGGTTACTCCTCCAAGAAAACTTCAAAACCTGACGCACAACAGCCCCCTCTTCTTCCAAGCCGTCCTCCTCACAACAGCAACCTCGTCAGGCCTCAACCTCGTCCTCCCCTCCATCGTCTCCTCCATGGTAGGCACAGCAACAGGCTTCCTGATAACCTACACCCGCCGCCTCAAATGGCCAGCCCTCACCGGCGCAGTGGGCCTCCTCGTCGGCACCATCGCCCTCTCCGCCATGCGCCGCGGCTGGCCCTCCTGGGTCTACCTCCTCTGCCTCGTCCCCTCCTCCATCGGCCAGGGCTTCCAGTTCCCCGGTACCTTCATGGCCGTTTTGGCGGCAAGCGAACAGCGCGAGCAGGCCGTCGTCACGAGCACCCTCATCCTCTGGCGCTCGCTCGGCATGGTGTTGGGCGTGGCGAGCAGTAGTCTCGTCGTGCAGAATGCGCTGGTGGGGTATCTGGACGAGTACGTCCAGGGGCCGGAGAAGGACGAGGTGATTCGCAAGGTGAGGGAGAGCGTCGAGTCGATTGTGAAGTTGCCGGCTGCGTACCGCGAGCAGGTCGTTATGAGCTACGAGGCGGCATTGCGGACGACGTTTCTGTGTTGTGTCGTGATTGCTTTTGTTTCGGTGGCTCTGCTTGTCCCGATCAAGTTGCCCAGACTGGGTGCGAGAAAGACAAGCCGGTAAAGGAACCGGGGCTAATATCTATCATCCACTGGTAATCATGAATTTGGGGGGAAAAGTTGTCGCTGCGTCATCTAATATAGCATTTGTGTTGCATAGATACTTTTAGCATTCTAACGGAAGCATTTCGCGGTTCCGCATCATCATACAAGCTTCAATTTTGCCTTGCCTTAATCCAAGCCTAAGCCTTGTCTTGCCTTGCCTTGCCGTTCTCATCGCCCGTTATAAATACACGCACACACCCCCTTTAATAGTGACCATTCATCCCATTAACGCGCAACGCATCAAGCTCATCCTTGGTCTTACGGTACAACTCCTGCGCCTCGCGCTCCCTCCTGCTGACGAACCCGACCTCTTCCCTCAGGGCGCTCAGACGCCGCTGGATCGCCACCTCCTCGGAGATGGCCAGCGTCTTGAACCCGCTGAGGGCGTTGTTGGCCTTATCCAGGGCCTCGGCGGCCTCGCCAATCTTGTCCTTGAGCATCTTTTGGCGCTTCTGGTAGCCGCCCAGGTGCAGGCCCAGCTTCTTCTCGAGCTTGATGCCCTCCTCGGCCGTACTGGCGATGGAATCTTGGATAGACTGAGATGATGGGATTAGTACTGGGAAGCAAATGGAAGCACCAAAGACGGCGCGGTCTGTGGTGTAACTTACGTCAAAGGCATTCTTCATGGCTACCTCCTCCTCTTCTTCGTCGTCACCGTAGCATCCCAGACCGAGGAGCAGAGAACTCTTGCTCCTGGCCTCGAAGGACACTTGAA